CCAGCCTTCTGGTTAGCAGTCAAGTGCCTTAGGCACTATGCTACCAGAGCTCCCTCCATTAAGATTACAGCCAAGCAAATCCTACAGAGCAGTTCTACCCATAATAGATGGGGTGGCCACAAGCTGAAATTAACACAAAAGCAACAAGTAAGGGTTATGCATAGCAGGACCTCATTAACAATAAAATAAAATAAAATAAAAACCCTTAAATGTTTTAAAATTAAATAGAGAAACAGAGAAGGGAATACACCTAGCTGTTAACATGGCTGTGAGAGCTAGAAGGGTTATATATACGATTTCATTTCATTTAGGTAAAATTCTGTATATACATAAATACTACGTACACAAGGAAAAAGATTCAGTACAATAGAAAGAGAAAATTAACAAAAACAGAAATTGATAATACTTACAGAAAACTGAAGAGCAACAGAATTAAAATAAATTCTTGAGTTATTTGGGGGTGGTGAAAAATAAAGATCAGTTAATCAAAATAATTTTTTCAAGTCTATTTTTACCATTTTTGTGTTTTATTCCTTTATATTAGTTTTAGCATCAGCTTGTCAACTTCCTTAAAAAAAAAAAAAAAAAAACTGTTGGAATTTTTACTGGAATTATATTGAATTCACACCTTAATGTGAGAAGAATGGAAATCCTTATGACAACTGACTCTGCCCAGCCATGGATGCCATATGTTGCTCTTCATTCAGGTCTCCCATTATGTCATTTAGAACCCCCCACATGACTAACACACAGCTTCTGCTACATATATCTCGATTACTCCTTATAGTTATAGATTATAGAAAATACTTTTAAATGACATTTTAATTTATACTGCTGAAAGTTGATTTTATTATGTTGAACCTTGCTAATTTCTTAGTAGTTCTCATAGTCTATATTTCTACATAATTTTATCTACAGATAGTTTTATTTCTTTAATTCTAACCCTTACACCTCTTATTTCTTTTTCTTGTCTTACTGTGAGTGCTGAAACTTCCACCACCAAGTCAAACAGAAGCAGTGATAGCAGGCATCACTGCTATGCTCTGACATTAAAGCAAATACTTCTAATTTTTACCAATCAGTATAGCAAATGTCCTTTTATCAGGACAAGGAAATTCTCTTCCATTTCTAGCTTGCTGAGTTTTTTTAAATGACGGAGGACTGAATTTAATCAAAGCATTTTTTAGCATCTATTCTCTCTTCTGCTTTCTTTAGGAGACAGACTACCATTGTCAACTATGGTCCTACTTTGTACATCCCTGTCATATATGCCAGCTTGCAAAGACTAACAATGGACTGCCAGAAGAACAAAAAAATATGTCTTGAAAAAGTACAGACAGAATGCTTACTAGAAGCGAGAACAGTGAGACTTTTTCGTGCTTACTCTGGAAATGTTATCAGGAGAGACTAATCCCTGGAGAAGGATACCATGCCTGGTAAAGTAGAGGGTTAGCAAAAAAGAGGAAGATCCTCAACAAGATAGACTGACACAGTGGCTGCAACAATGGTTCAAACATACCTAGTGTCATGAGGATGGTGCAGGATCAGGCAACATTTCGTTCTGTTATATATGGGGTTGCTATGAGTTAGAGCCAATCTGATAGCACCTAAGAAGATCTGGTGGCATACTGGTTAAAGCATTCAGCTTCTGAGCAAAAGGCTAGCAGTTCAAACCCACCACCGCACCATGGGAGAAAGATGAGACAGTCGGCTTCCATAAAGATTTACAGCCTTGTAAACCCTAGGGAGCAGTTCCACTCTGTCCTATGTTGTTGTTGTTGTTGTTATGTGCCGTCGAGTCGGCCCCGACTCATAGCGACCCCTCCTTGGGTTTCCGAGGCAGTATCACTACGGAAGTAGGATTGCCCAACCTTCCTTCCGAGGAGTGGCTGGTGGGTTTGAACCGCCAGCCGTCTGGTTAGCAGGCAAGTGTCTTAGCCACTATGCTAGCAGAGCCTGCTAAAAGTCAGAATTGCTCAATGTCAGTGGGTTTGGTTTATTTTTGAACAACAACAACCATCCCCTGATACTGACAAGTTTTTGTAGCTGGTCATATAGACAATTAAGTAAGTCAAGATAACCACAGTATGACTACTGTATACCTGCTCACTCCCAAGGGAATGGGAACTGGCTTGTTTCCTACCTGCTACAAATGTACGGCGCTCTCAGCCTTGGCCTACTCAGCTGCAGTGCAATGTGTAGCCACCATCTAGGCTCATCCTTACGCCCTGTGGCACTCAAGAGCAGAGAACCGGCACTACTATACTGATGCTCCTGCTGACTGCTATGTTTATGAATAATAAACTGCCTTGCTCTGGCCCACTGAGTCTTGTTGTCTACGTTTGGCCCTACTGAACTGTGGCAGTTGACTCCTGCCATCCTCTATGAGATTGACATTTTCTCCTGGAAGTTCGTAAGAGATCTTTAACAAGATACTTCTATAACTTCCAAAAGGACTACAGTGAAGTCATATAGGCAACAAACTATCAACCTGCTTAACTCTGTCCCTCTTTTTCCCCCTAATTATTCTTTCAGATGTCCACCATCAGTAAGCAAGCTAACAATGACTGAGGTCCTTTTTAAACATGTTTTTCCAACAGGGCTTTAGAGATCAAAACAAAGCAACTGATAGAAAGCCTTATTAGACACTTATTAAAGATGCAAATATTTCTGGAAGGATAATTCTGAAAATATGCCATCCAATTCAAGCAAACACACACCTGATAATCTACACCATGTATTAAACAGATCTAAGTGTCCTCGTTAGTATTCAGAAAAATAGCATTTGTATTCCATTTTAATAACATGATGGAAATACATCAATAGTTCAAACATTTTAAATATGTATTTTTATTATCAATTACAAAAGGCCTGAACATCTGTAACAGCAGCTATCAAGTGTTAACTATTAAATTACATAGTCGCAAAAAGAATATAACACTGGTTGTTTCAAAATTTTAAATCCTAATAAAATTTTATCTATCTACCTTGAGGTTGGATTTCAAGAGTAGACTCTTCAATGACTCAAGTACCAAAGTAGTTATCTTATTTTTCTCTTTTTACCTGTATTCAGGCTGTCGACCTCCAGAATGATCATCTCTTGGCCATCTATAGCCAGATTCATCCTGTAACATAAAAAAGTTAATTTAGATTATTTGTTTACATTATTCTGCCCAAAAAGGATATATCTAACAGCATTACTGGAAACTAGCCTCTAAGTCAAAATAATTTGAGGAAATAAAATACTTTTCTAAATTTCCCTGAACTACAAAGGCAAACAAAACCATATCATCCATTTCAACAACTAAAATAGTAGACTGAGTGAGAACCCATGTTACTATTTATCCTTATTAAAATGCTTAGATTGTTTCTTTGGTAAGCCCAAACAACCTTAGTGCCAAAGATACATACATCAACATCACAACAGTTAAGGACTATTTCAGGAAAAAGGCTAAAATTAATCTAGTACACATATCTTGATCTTTCATTTTATTCTTCCTTCTGCCAAATTCCTTCAGGAACTTTCAGATTCAAGCCCAATGAAAACTTGCTACTTTCCCAGTTTTCTTCTTCAAGCTTCCTTTTTCACCCTACTTTCCATTAAAAACTACAATTTGAAACAATATCCCAAGAAGAAACTGTCAAAAAACAATTAACAAAATGGCAGAAGTTGTCCTTTATTAGTAATTAGCATGAACATAAATGGATTAAATGCTCCTATCAAGAGGCAGAGAAGGGCAGATTGGATGAAACAACATGACCCATCTATATGCTGTCTATAAGAGACATACCTTAGGCACAAAGACACTAATAGATTGAAAGGGGAAAGGTGGAAGAAAAATATTCCAAGCAAACAGTAATACAAAGAGAGCAAGTGTGACCATTTTACCATCAGACAAGGAGACTATAAGGCAAAATCTATTGTAAAAGAGAAGGACATTATATAATGATAAAGAGTCTATTCAACAAAAAGATAAAGAAATTATAAATATTTACGTACCTAATCTCAGAGCTTCAAAATTTATAAAGGCAATGCTAATAGATTTTTAGGGGAGAAATAGACAAGTGTACGATAATAGTAGGAGACTTTAATACCACTTTTGATAATGGAGAAAACAACTGGAGAGAAGATCAATAAAGAAATAGAAGACCTGAAGAACAGTATTAACAAGACCTAATGGACATATCTAGAATATTCCACCCAATTAACAACACAGCATATATTCTTCTCCAGTGCACATGGGCTCATTCTCCAGGACAGACCATATTTTAGGATATGAGCAAGACTCAATACATTTAAAAAGACTGGAGTCATATAAAGTATTTTTTCTAGTCACAATGGAATGAAAGCAGAAATTAATTACAGAAAGAAAATTGGAAAATCACAAATATGTGGAAACGAAATAACACACTAATAGGCAATCAATGGGTCAAAAAAGAAATCAAGCGAGAAATAAAAAAATTACTTAGAGTAGAACAAAGATAAAATCATAGCATACCAAATCCTGTGAGATGCAATGAAGGCAATACTCAAGAGAGAAACTTACAGCAATAAATGCCTACAAGGAAAAAGAAGACTTCAAATCAACAGCTTAACTCTGTAACTTGAAAAATAAAAAAGGAAATGTGAATTAAGCCCAAAGCTACCAGAAAAAAGGAAATAAAGACCAGAGCAGGAATAAATGAATAGAAAATACAAAAACAATAGAAAGAATCAACAAAATTAGAAACTGGTTTTCTGAAAAGATCAATAAAGTCTACAAACCTTGGGCTACAATGACAAAGAAAAAGAGAGAAGATGCAAATATCTAAAATTAGACACATAAGTAGGACATTGTAATCTATCCTACAGAGATAAAAAGGACTAAAAGAATACTATCAGCAATTATATACCAACATATTAGATAACTCAGAGGAAAAGGACAAATTCATTGAAACACATCAACTATACTGACTCAAAAGGAATTAGCAGATCTCAATAACCCATAAGTGAAGACAGCAACTGTATCAGTAACCAAAAACCTCCCAACAAAGAATATCCTGGACCAGATGGTTGCAGTGGAGAATTCTATCAAACATTTCTAGAAGTGACTGCAATCCTACTTACACTTTCCTAAAAAACAGAAGTGTTGTTGTTGTTGGTGTTATGTGCCATCGAGTTGGACCCGACTCATAGCAAACCCTCCTTGGGCTTCCAAGGTGGTATCACTATGGAAGCAGATTGCCCCATCTTCCTTCCGAGGAGTGGCTGGTGGGTTTGAACCACCAGCCTTCTGATTAGCTGTCAAGTGTCTCAGACACTATGCTACAAGAGCTCCCCAAAAAAATAGAAGAGGAGGGAACATTACCTGATTCTATGAAGCAAACATTACCCTGATACAGACAAAACATGGAGACATCACAGGAAAACTACAGATCAACATCCCTTATGAATACAGATGCAAAAATACTCAATAAAATACTAGCAAACCGAATCCAAAAACGTATTGCAAGGAAAAAGAAAAAGAAATTGTCGCTTACCAATAATTATATTACAGCAATATGTCATGTTAAGTTTAAAATTAATCAAAGAAAACGCATTTTGTCCTCAAAGGCAGACATATTTATAAAGGTACATAGCAACCTACAGCCAATTACTTTAGAATTCTACATAGGACAACACATATTCTAATTACTTACAATCAGAAACACTGATTTTGCTGAAACAGATTATCTTCATTTTCCTTTTTAGCATCACATACTCTGCTCTGACATAAGTTAAAATGTACTCCTAGTTTTCCTTTTTAACATTAAATGTAAAGAAAACAAAAAACTCAACAGCTATAATGAAAAAGTGGATCAAATTAGTAGTTTGCTTTATATACTTGCATGCTATTAAGAACTAGTGTCATGAGTCTTAAGGATTAAAAATTTGTTTGTTTAAAAGAACCTAAGAAAAGATGCTGTGCAAAGTATTAAGATAAACATAACTTGTACCAATGATAGAAGAAATCAGTGTTGAGGCACTGTTAGGCTGTAAGTTCTTATTTTAAAAAAAAAGTTCACAAGGATTCGTATAAAAATTGGTCCACAGAACCCAGAATTCCCTGTCTACACTAAATGGTTACAGGGTTTTAATAAGAGGGACAACACCTGTTTATGCAAAAGTCAAATGGTTTCTCCCTGAAACTACCTGAAAAATGGCTCTGATAGCTAAAGCCGATATTCTCTAGAATAGACATAATGCATAAGGTTTACTTTTCCAACAATGACATTTAAAACCAAACAAAATAAAAATCAACTCTATGAGAAGTGAGGAAGTTATAACAGCCCAAACTTTAGAGGGGTTAAGGGGAAAAAAATCCAAACACTGAATAGTCTCACTACTACTCTGAATTGTCAAGGATTACTATGGAGTAAGAGAATTGGATTCCCATACATACCCACTGTGAACAAATCACCCTACCTCCATTTCTTCAAATATAAAGTATGATAATTAATTCCAAGGGTCAGTGTGAGGTCAAATTTAACTCTAAACAATGTTTAAATATGTATTGTAATTATAATATGATATAGTAGGAAAAGGGAGAAACAGAAAAATCAAGTAGAGCAGTGGTGTACATATGTTAACTACAGAAGAGAAACTGCATCAAGGAAGAGTTTCAATCATGTTCAATGACAGATCACCACTAGATCATTAACCATACACTTCTAAATTAGTAATGATGCTAAAGAAAAACAAATTATAATAGTAATAATAACAGCAGCTAACATTTTAAGTGCTTACTATGTGACACTGTTTGAGTGTTTTCTAATCTGAGTGAATTAGTAGACTTTAATAATAAGTAAAACAAAAATGAGACTAAATCCCAAAAACCTTAATAGCATTTCATCAAAATACAAATTCTAAGTGGGCACATCATCCAGTAAGAAATGGTAACCACCTGCTCATCATTTATTGATGAGTTCACCAAGACAACAGATTATTTTTATCTAATTCTGAAAATTTCTGCCACTTTCCAGGATTAAAAAAAAGCAGGCTAGTTGGAATTAATGTCATTTAGATACAGCTAGTAGCATAGTGCCTAAGGCACTTGACTGCTAACCAGAAGGCTGGCGGTTCAAACCCACCAGCCACTCCTCGGAAGGAAGGCTGGGCAATCCTACTTCCGTAGTGATACTGCCTCGGAAACCCAAGGAGGGGTCGCTATGAGTCGGGGCCGACTCGACGGCAAATAACAACAACAACAGATACAGCTAGAGCTATCCAGAGTGCTGACCCACTCTGTTTAGTACCCCAAGGTTCCTGACTACCAGTTCCCATTTGAGAGCTCTATAGAGCATCAAGTAGGAAGTATTCATTTAATTGCCTCCGTGGCCAGTCACATAAATTTTTTAAATTACATGAATTGTAAACTTATAAGAAATAACAATTAATACATGGGGGAAGTTTACATACTCCTTTGTGAGGTGGACCACTTCTTCGATCATGAGAAAAACTGCGGCCCTCGTCATATTCTTGGTAATCAACATGACTGTAATATCTATTGTAGCTTCCTTCATCAGGTCTGTCTAGGAGTGGTGGTTTCTTGGGCACAATATTAACTATTCTATGGTAGCCATCCTAAAACAGACAAAAAGAAATATATAAAAATCACTAATTTCTCTATTTTGTTTTGGAAAGGTTTTCAAAAAGCACAGGAGTTCTTATCCATAATCAAACAGGAAAATGAATAAACAAACAAAAATGCATTGCATGAAATAAAATTACTATAATAGCAAGATCTTGGAAATGGATTAAAGGAAAGTTGTTCAATGAAGAAAGCCTGGTGTCCCAACTAACATGTAGCAATGCTAAAAATCGATCACAGGTAAAAGAAAAATTAGAAGATTCTTATCATTGTTACCAAAACAAACTACAATCAGAATGTTGTATCAGTTCTAATCTCTAATTGCCTAGAGATTTTAGAAATAAAACACATCTTGGTCGACAGCGTTTGAACTATATGTTCCGAAGCAATGTAAGATTTTTATACATAAGCAACAGCAAACAAGGAGATGACACTGAGCTAGAAAGATCAAAAGGAAACATTTTGAAGAAAGCTTTTTACTTTAAATTTGGAAGCAAAATAGAACACAATATAAAATCTGAAGTAATTTTCAAAGTAGTATGTTGCTAATGTTTTAAAATTTTAGAAACTGAGTGGTTTCCTGTGGAGCTGGGAGACAGGAAAGAGGAAGAACACCACCTGTCTTAGGTTAGAAGCTGCTCTAAAGTAACAACAAAAAATATTATCAACAGTAGCAAAAGTGAAGTACAGGCTACACAACACACATCTGTAAATATCTGGTCATAGGCATTTGTGGTAAATCTTTCTACTAATATCAAATGAGATATAGATGAAAGAGATCTAAAGAACAAGGCTATCAAAGTTTAAGACATGATTAATGTTAAGTTAAAAGATTAGACAAAAAAGAAAGAAAACAGAATAAAACCCAGCATTCAGGGCTGGTTACCTTACCATCCTAAACCTCACTTTCCTCATTTGTAAAATGGGACTAATACTAATACCTGCCTCCTAGGGTTGTTAGAAATGTTGGTGGCATAGTGGTTAAGCGGTTGGCTACTAACTGAAAGATCAGTGGTTCAAACCCACCAGCCGCTCCACAGGAGAAAGATGTGGAAGTCTGTTTCTGTAAAGATCATACCTTGGAAACCCTATAAGGAAGTTTGTAGTCTGTCCTATAGCTTCACTGTGAGTCAGAAATGACGACAGTGTGTTGCAGACCGGGTAAGTGAAATGAGACACAGAGACAAACACACAGACGATACAAGACTGCAGCCCCGATGTGAGCTGCAACTTTATTTTTATACACTTCTGAAAAGGGATGAAAGCCAATTCTTTGAGTTCTAGTCTAAATTGTTCTCTTTGATCTTTTTCCCACACCAGAAATAACAAGGATCTGTGTTTTTACTTCATCAGATTGTTCTCTTCTGACAACAGTGTGTGCACGTTTCTCTTTATCAGCCCTTCTGTTTGCAGATCCAGCTTCCTGTCTCGTCTGCGAGTCCAGGATTTCAAGAGTTCAATCTGAGTTCAAGATCCTTTAATGCACCCAATGCTTTCAAATGGGTGCTTCCCCTTGCTGTTTTCTGAGACAAAGGGGAATATTCCAGCAAGTCCCTACATTTCCCCCTTTTTTATTTTATATGACTGGGCTTCTACAATGTCATAGGGCAGTTCTAATTTCATATCTTTGATTCATGGCTTGTTGTCTTCGTTTCCAGCACTGGAAGACTAAAAAACAAACAAATATAATTATTATAAGTGATCCTCCATTTAGTGCTGTCATGGAAAATAATCCCTTGGCCCATCCAATGGGATTTAATTCTGATAACCCTTTTGCTATGCCTTCTAGGACCCCTTTCCCACTTATTTCTGAAAAATCTTTAGAAAATGCTTGAGTAATACTTTCTCCTAATTGATCAATTTGTAAAGTTAGGTTTCTATGTCCCCATAAATAATCCTTTATCTCCGTCCAATTTCTACTTTCATTAAATTGAACAGGGGTTACGCATATCTGCTAAAATTCCAATCACATTTCAAAACTGCACAGGTTTTTAATATATGTACTTGTTCCCCTAACCATGTAACAACTTGTTTTAAGTCCAATAACTCTTGATAAATTTGAGAATCTAAATTATGCTGTTGCTGCCACAATTCAAAAGAGTGTTTATGCCATTCTTAAACTTGTTGTGCAGTTTGCATTCCTTGTTGCAAAGCCACACCTGCTACAGAAGCAGTGGTGGCAAAAGCTATTATTCCTAATACTATAGCTGTAAGTATTCCAATAGCTCTTTTCGTTCTATGTGAGATTGTTCATAAGATACCATATACATGAGATAATCCTGCTGACTGACTCCAAGGTCTAGTCAAATTTACTGGAATCCATATTTGAGATCTACTTCTTAGTATATATATACTTTCTGAGGAAAAATGAATATGTATTGAAGTATTTAAACATGTATAAAAGGTGCAATTAGCTGTACAATTATTAAGTCCAGGAGGTACATCCCAACTAATTTGTCCTTTAAGGAGCACATAGGGAAGTTTAACACAAGCCTGGACATATTGACTTTCATTCTTCAATAACTGTATATGAATGCTTCCCTTATTGGTTATATTTATGGTCATATTTCCAACCCATGTATGTAATGGTTCTAAAGCTGCCATCAATTTCCATAGCTGACCTTGAAAAGTTAAGGATTCATTAGAATGAAGTATGGGTGGAGTCATACCAGTATCATACCAAACCAGTTTCATTAGGATCACTGGATAAGAATTACTTTTATGCCATTTTAAAGGAATGTTAGAGAATTTTTCCCTTAAATCACTATGCAGACTCCAGTCAACAACCTGTTGTATTCCATTGACCAGAATCTTTGCCGATTTTCCTCAACACTGAGTCCAGGAAAAATGACTTATTCCAGGATCTATATTAGGTAAAGAACAGAAAGGTATCAAAGGAGATATATGAGAAATATTGGTATAATTAAGAATCTTAAAGCTTTTTGCAGATAATAAGAACAAATGAGCAGCGACATGAGAATGATTATACTGTAAACCCCATGCTTCATGAGAAGGTTGAAGACAATGACTGCCATTTCCTATACAAATGGGCATTTGTTGACTACTAAATTCATACTTGCTAACATTCAATCCTTCCTCATGAGGATATGTGTGTAAATCAGAGTCATAAGGGCTTAGCATCCATAAAGTTTCTTTAGAATATACTGGGATTTCACTCTCTCCCCACGAGACAGCTTGGAAAAGAGGGGGGATTGGGAACATATGCCCAATAGGTAAATTCAGCAGATTCTCCTACCTGGCAGGTGACTTTCGCCACCATAGCCAAAAACAAAGTAGAAGCTGAGACTGGCTGACCAGCCTGCTGTACTACTTTCTCAGCCTCTTGGGTCAATTTCTTTATCTGACCCCAGGTAGGTGGTTTAGCGGTCCTAGTGCCATAAGTATAAGTGCGTGCTTGAAGATTCAGTTCACGAAACGTTTGCAGGAAATCTTCATCCCGGGGTCTCTTGGCCATGGCACAATTTCAGCCTCTTAGTCGGCAACCACTCACAAGTGTTTCCTGTTGAGACATAAGCATAACCTCGACCCCAATGCAAAACTTCTCCAGGTAACCAATTACCTTCTTAAGTTTTGTAAAAAATAGGTTGAGCATTTTCCAATAAATTGGGTTGCCCTGATTTTTGAAAATGAGTAACGGCTGTAGACTCTTGTAAATCAACCCATTGATTTAAAAAATTTAAAGTAAATAAGACTCTGTTTATATAATCTCTGGGACTGATACCTACATTCCCCCCTTTTTGTTTTTGTAATTGTAATTTTAAAGTTCGATTTGCTCATTCAATAATAGCTTGACCTGTACTGTTAAAGGGGATACCTGTTATGTGCTGAATCTTCCGTAAGGCAAAAAAGTGTGATAGTTTTTGTGACAAATACACAGGTGCATTGTCAGTTTTAATAATTGACAGTATTCCCCTAACTGCGAAACAAGATAATAAATGAGTAATAACAGAGTCAGCTTTTTCTGAGGCTAGGGGGGGTAGCCCATTGAAAGTGAGAATATCAATAGTATGATGTATATATTTTAATTTTCCAAAGGGTAGAAACTGTACAACATCCATTTGCCATATATGATTTGACTGTAACCCCCGAGGGTTACATCCAGGAGGCAAAGAATACCCATGAATGGAATGACATATATCACACGTGCGGATAATATCCTGTGCTTGTCGTCTAGTTAATTGATATCGTTTTTGTAATCCTTTGGCATTAGTATAATGTAACTTATGCTCGTGTGAAGCTTCTTGAATATTTGCAACTAGTAAGGAGTCAATATTTGAATTCCCTTGAGCCAATGGCCCCGGAAGAGAAGAATGAGAATGAATATGTGTAATAAAAAGAGGATTGTTTCTATGTAATAATACATATTGCACCTTTATAAACAAAGATAATAAAACATCTTCAGAAGAGTCAGGTAAATAAACAAATGGTAATTGTCGAACAGTATGAACTGCATATTGCGAATCACTGATAATGTTTAGTGCACAAGAAAAATCAGACAATGCCATGAGAATCTCAAATAACTGACCTTGTTGAACTGAAGTGTGGGGAAAATGTGACACACATGACTTTAAATTAGACCAATACCCTGCCTTACCAGATTTGGAAGCATCTGTAAAAACTGTAGGTCCTTCCACCAGTTCTCGAGATATATAAGGCATAGGCACCATATTATGAGTTTTAAGAAATGAAAACAATTTATGTGAGGGATAATGATTAGAGAATTGACCCACAAAATCAGCACAAGCTATCTGCCAGTTAATGTTGAATTCATAACATTGTTGTATATCTTTATCGGACAGCTGAGTTATTATAGTAGAGGGATCATATCCAATTAATTGTCTGCACCGGTGGCGGCCTTTGGCAACTAGTGATGCGATTTTATTGATATACGTCATCAGCCTTTTATTATGTTTGTTAGGCAGGAATACCCACTCTCATAAAATATTAGTTTGTCCAACTGCAGCAGAAGGGG